GAATTTTAGCTGGTATTGGGAGGCTGATAGTCAAACAATGAGTTCTTTAAAACTGAATATGACATCAGTAAGGACGATAATCAAACACTTATTTATCAATCCAGAATCAGACACAAATGGGTATCTGAGTTATATAAATCATAATCTGATGCTAATGTGACAGTGTAATGCAATTCTGGTTAAGATGTTAGCACATAGGATCACCTACAAAAGGTGTAATGTTTTCAAACGAAACCCAAAACACGAGTGCTGTCGAATAATTGACAATTCTTCTTCAGGAAGAAGAGTAGTCAACTATTCCAAAGCGCTCGAGTTTTGGGACTTGTTTGAAAACAGTATAATACAATGGAAGCTCTAATTATACGCTAAAGTAGTTTATAATCCATCAGAGGTTTTTATAGTCTGAATTAGACCTTAGTTAAAGGTGATAATTCTGTGAGGGATTGGACATTGTGTGTTTTAAATATTGAAGTGGCAATATCAGGTTGAATTTTTTCGACTATTTATTGGGAAGAGGGTGGAAGAGTATTTATTGAATTAGATACTGATGGTACTAGTTGCACTATGACCATATATATTAGAGGATTGTACAACCAGACTGTATGTATCTGAGATTAGATTTAAATTATATATACATTTATATTATAGGATTCTAGAGCTGTTAAATCAGAGGAAACTGGAAGAACTGAAAGAAAAATGGTGGAATACAAACTCAAAACTTTTGGCTTGTGAGGACTCCGAAGAACGTAATGACGGAATTGGAATTGAAAACATTGGTCGGTTTGGGTTTTGTTTACAGACTTAATTTAAATTGTTTTACTGAACGACAGAAATTTGTAGTCACGATGTAAAGTTTTACCATATTGTATTCATCTGATACCTCGTACAAGTAAAAGTATACAAATAATCCACTGATTTTTTTTTCTTTATGATTATTAAACTGAAGAATATTGTAAATTTGTAAGAACGTATATCAAGACAGCGCGTCTTCAGATGTCGTATTACGTCCCATTAAATCTTAGAAATACCGTTGTCGGCCGTATAACGTCGGATATTAAAACAATTTTTATAAACTTTTCATGCAGAAAAATTACGTGTAGTTTATGAGTTTGTTAAATATAGGACCCCTAATAACATAAAATCATACAAAATACTTAAACAATACCAAACCCCAACGCTGTGAAACTCGACAGTTGTAGTCAAGATTATGGATGGATTACTTCATTTTTTTACCCACAAAATGAGTTATCTTAACTCTTCTCAACCTATGTTTTATACTGAACGCTGTAACAGAAAATATAATAATAAAATTACTGAATGTGATGCTATATGTGGAACCACTTATAGAGTATGATATAAAAACAAGTCTTTTGGGGTTAATAAAATTTGGGCTCATCTTTGGCGTTAAGCAAAGCCTAGATTCTATTGTTTAATCTTGTTCCTAATCAATGATCCATATCTGGCAGGATATACAGAAACAACTGTAATTAAGTTCCAGTTTTACTGTGATTTCAAGTTCTGTCATCTGTTGTCTTAGATGGCAACTGAATTAGGTCGAGGATTTGGGAAAAATTTTGGAAGTTGTTCTAAAAAACAAAGTTGACTTACATTTTCAGAATAATTTCTTTTGTGATGAACTCGAGTTCAGTTTAGGTTTGAGTTTTTTAAACACCAGTTTCTTTTATTTTGGAACATTGTTCGAAGTTAAAGTTGTTTTCATCAATCACATGTTTGATGTTCGAATTACAGACGATGCTGATGTTATTTTCGTCAATTACATTCGTGATCCGAATATGTGTAGATGTTTGAAGAATTACCAAAATTAACTTTCAAATGATATGTTATACACTGTTCTTAACATCATAATTGTTCTCACGTGATATGAATATACAACGTAGGAGTTAATTCTTCCCTTTATCTTGAAAATGTTCTGAATATTTAATATCGATTTTAAAGCTATACACACTAAAATATGTAGGTATTTTTTTTATTTTATTTCTCAGTACATAGCTGATTTAATCATAAATGGAAGGCTGACATAAAACGATAATTTGGGCGAGTCAAAACTCACTTTACGAAGGGTGTAGCCTTCGTTCAAAAACGTTTTTAAATAGGAACGTAAAAAATAACAGATTATAATATAATATAATCAAATTTAAACTAGGCTTTGCATTGACCGACTGAATACATACTGTTTTTTTAAATATGTTTTCGATTGTCATTATCAAAATTTGGCTAATGTATTACATTTAATAAAGTAAGTTTATACTGTCTTTCCTTAACTCTCTTAGTTATTATTAAAATACATAAAACATTTTCTTCTATTCCTGATTTACTAAGGAAGGGATATAATAACTATATTTTACAAACTTTCCAAAATTGGGAAAATATTACCTTAAAATACGATATAATACGTTACATCCTGAGTTGTTAAATGAATAGTGAAGATTGACACTAATACCAAAGTTTTTATGTTTAATATTTCTAACAAAAAATTGAAGAATAGTAAATATTGTTACAAATTACTTCAGATGTTTCAGAGTAATTAGATACAATATCAGAATAGATAGAATAAATATATAGAAACAAATTTTGATTCTCTTGGAAAATATGTGCACTCTTTGATACCGTGGGTTCGTTTTGTTAAACTTGTACAGAAACAATAAAGACTAAAGTAAATTAGATTGAATCATTTAAAACAATTAAGTGACTTAGAAAGTGGCAAAACATTTATTGATGGCCTAGTTAAAATTATAAATAACTTACCTCAATACAAAATTAGTGAAATAGAAAGGTTTATCTAGAGGATTGAGATTTTCAGTAGTTCAGAAATGTTTGATTATGATAATTATTGTTAATGTTTTAAAACCTTTTATGGAGACTAAAGAATAATCCTATTTATAGAAAATAATGGTCGAAGTTTTATGGTGTAGTAACAGAAGTGTCAGAAGAAGCCTTAACTTATTTCTACTCATATAAAATAAAATTAAATATAACTAAAGAAATTAACCATTTATGGTAAAATAAAGAAACAACTGTAACTAAGCCAAATAAACCAAACAATTAACCATTTAGGGTAAAATAAAGAAACAACTGTAACTAAGCTAAATAAACCAAACAATTAACCATTTAGGGTAAAATAAAGAAACAACTGTAACTAAGTCAAATAAACCAAACAATTAACCATTTAGGGTAAAATAAAGAAACAACTGTAACTAAGCCAAATAAACCAAACAATTAACCATTTA